ACCATTTGTCAGAAGAACCACATGGCAGTGACACGGCAAAACAGCAGAGAAGCAAGAATATATGCACACATACACATCACTTAGTTTATCAACACCTTAATGGCTCAATGTGAAAGCTGTTGCCTCTGAGAAGCATTTTGTTTGAGGCGGTATAAAAGCTCTGTCTGGGATGGCTCATTTTAAAATATATCAATAATCACTTAATGCTGCAGGCACCAAACAATGAAGAGGCATGCATGAGTCAGCCTTGCTCCAAATCTGTAACGGAAGTTTGCACTGAGCACAAAAACTAGCGTGAATGGCCCTATATATGATTGTATAAGTCTAGAACTTTTAGTAAAAAAAATCAACCCAAAAAACTTAGGTCAACTTGTCCAGGGGTCAGTATGAGTACTATACTTAATCTTATAAAAAAAAGAGATAAGAATAGAGTTCTCTGAATAGAGTGGCGAAGGACAAGAACTCAGTCCATCCCAAGAGAACCTAAAAGAAGCACAGAGCCCCTCTGCTCTCCATAGTACTACTTATTTTCTTTTTTTAATGCCTGGGTGAGGAAATTGTGGCTCACCATGAGGCATCATTGGTGCTCTTCCCTTTCCATGGAATAACCTTCAACTTATCCATGGGTCACATCAAAATCCATAATTTTGCTCTCAAAACCTGCCCTTGACTTATACATGAGGTCAATTTAAATATATACGGTAAGGACATACCCACTTTTGTACCATGGAAATGGTCATAGTAAGTAGTATTAAACAGGAGAGAACTTAAGAATGCTGTATGAGGAAAATATTAAGTCTATACAGAAGATAGCACATTTCTCATCCCTTAAGAGGCCTTCTCTATGATTAGGAAGATGCCTCAGTTCTTAGATTTTGGATACAATGAAAGGCTGCATTTTGTGGCCTCCAAAATTACTTAATTTGTGTTTGTTGTTGTATTTTACTGACTATAATATGAGAAGAGACGCTTGTTTCTCCTTGTATATCTTGTATGATGTAAATATGGCTGGCTTTGAATAGTAAGCAGCTCACTCAATTTAGGTGAATGGAGAATTTCACATCATGCAACAAAATGTCTTGTTGTCCTGGTGAAGGAACCGATGTGTGTGTGTGTATGAATGGGTATACAGCTCTGCAAGTATAACTACTGGTGGTCTTTCCTTCTTTGTTGGTTGAAAGGAAGCACTACAGAAATCTATAATATGTTATATATTCATGTGTGAGATAGCTTTTCCCCAAACTTGTGCTCATAGATGTATCCACCCAAAGTCCCAGCATCCCAAACAAGAGCCAGGTTGTTTGAAGTGTGCATGTGTCCTTATACTACAGTGCTCTTGATTTTATTGGATCAACTCTTTGTACTTTCGTTCCAGCTTATCTGTCCAGAGCCACACTAAATAGTAAAGGGACTATTGAACTACTTCCCACACCCACAATAAATAGTGAAGGGGCTATTGAACTACTTCATAGGCCTATCACAGCAGGAACGGGAGAGCTCCAATCATATGAAGATCAAAGAAAAGGACGGAAAGGCCCTCAGCAGGAAAAGGAAGCCACACCAGATTCTCATCTACAGATTTGATTCCTGACCTCTTGAAGGTTTTTTGAACTAAAAACCCGAATTGCTTGACATTTTCAGTCATTTTAAAGAGCTCATTGGATAAGAATTCAGAGCCTAATTCTCATATCAGATATATCCGGTTCAGAAAACGCTTCATAGCCTTGCTTTAAAAAATGTTCAACATAAAAGGTATACACATAATGCTCCCTGGAGTGAATGACGGCTGCTCATTGAAACAGCTGTGTTCATGCTCACTTCCTGTCCAAATTAATGGGGTCATAGAGACAAAGATCCCAGTGAAAGGCACCCAATGCTTTCAAATACAAGACGGCTATAAGTATGGATCTGAATAAAATCTTCAACTCATACGGCCAAATTTCTACGACAAATTACAACAAAAAGCAGGCTTCGCATTGGGGAATGAATACATTGCTTTTGTCTACAATTTAGGTAAATAAAAGTATATTTTTCAAAATTATTATAAGGGGTTTTTTTTCAGAATGTCATGTATGAAAAGGTTCAGATAGGGACTGGACAGGTCTGCAGTAGTAGGCCCTTGACTTTTTTTTAGATTATTGCTTCCCTACAATCTCTTATTCAATCTCTAACCATCTATTTAGTGTAGAGCAGGCATGGGCAAACTTTGTCCCTCCAGGTGTTTTGGACTCCAACTCCCACAATTCCTAACAGCCTACTGGGTGTTAGGAATTTTGGGAGTTGAAGTCCAAAACACCTGGAGTGCTGAAGTTTGCCCATGCCTGGTGTAGACGATTATGTGTAACTTTACCCCTATTAGTATGAGTTTGGTCAAAATGAGTAGAGAAAAAAGGAACTACAACAAGACACTGATACGGAAAATATACAGGAGCACCTTAAAATATATCCCTCAAAATATATTCCTCTAGCATAACATGTAGGATATACTAAATTGTAAGTGAAAAATGTTCTCCACATATCTTAGTAGTATTCATAACTGGAGGGAAACGTCTCTTTCCTTTTGTTATTCTATAGAATGCTTTTTGGTCCTTGACTCATAACTGAGCACTGTCTTCCAAACCAAAATGTGTCAAGAAATTGAAGATTTAAAAAAAGAAAGTCCAACTAATGAACATAAGAAACACACTTAATTATTTGGGAAATAAAAAATAAGCACATTGTTGGTTGTTCACAAATAGTTTAGACACTGACACTTGTCCTTTATGTACCTATGACAACATTTTTTCATTTTGTAAAATTACATCTCTTGTTTTTAAATTAATGACATGGATACTTTAAAGCCCTGATCATCTGTGATCTCAGATCTAGTCCATTATGTCCTAATTTAGTTTTTACAACTTTTTTTTCATGTCACCAGTCGCTTCTGGTGTGAGAGAATTGGCTGTCTGCAAGGATGTTGCCCAGGGAATACCCGGATGTTTGATGTTTTGCCATTCTGTGGAAGGCTTCTCTCATGTCCCCACATGGGGAGCTAGAACCCGACAGATGAGAGCTTACCCCGCTCCCTGGATTCGAACTGCCAACCTTTTGGTCGACCTGTTCAACCAGAACAAGGGTTTAACCCATGGGTTACTGTTGATGGAGTAAGAAAGGAGAGGGAAAGGTTACAACAGAGAAACAGCAAAAGACTGAGCTAGTAGAGAGAAAGACCCCAAGTAGAAAATAAGGGGTGGGGGAGGTCTAGTACTGTCGTGCCACCTCTGACCTCAAAGAGAATGTGACAATCAATACACCCCACCTTCGTATGTTCTCTAATAAAAAATCCTGAGATTTTGCCTGTTAAGTTTTCTACTGAAATGTACTGTGGAAATGTATTGTGGTTTATTATGTTTCAAAATTATACAAATTACAGTGAACTGGGTCAGTTAGGAGGATATATTTTTATTGTCGGTTGTAAAATGTGTATTGCATATACAATAGACTTAGATCGATTTGGGTTTTCTAAAAATAAATCTGCTGACATATTTTTAGAGAATCAGGAATGTGATTAGTAAATAAAATGGAAAAAATGAAAAAAAAAACAATGGTCAGACTCCAAAGAGTAAATCATGTCTGAATCAAAGGCTGACATTTGTTCAGTAGATGTTTTTCTTTGAAGTCTATATGAATACTTCTCAAACCAATGGGCAGTATTTCAAATAGTTCTTCATGTGTCAGAATGGACTGTCGTATAAAGGAAAATTAGTCATATAAAATATAAATTCCAATATACATTTTAAAATATACATCCACATTAGGAATGTGGATGGCACTGAACGAGTGCTTGTTGTGAAGCCACCCTGAGTCCCTCCTCGGGGGTGAGAAGGAAGGGGTACAAATGTATAAAATAAATAAATAAATAATTCCAGGAGTGGAAGTCTTTTGTACATAGGCCAAAGCAAGCCTGCAGAGGTTTCCAATCCGGTTCCCAGTCTTATTAACAAAAAGAGGTCCTGAAAGCGATAGTCCAAAAGTGGCAGGCTAAAACCCAGAACCTCAACCCATGGCTGATACCAAATGAGATACTCCCCCCTGGGCACCCAGAAGACTGAGTGACTTGGAAGGCACTGAACAGACTGTGCTCTGGTACCACGAGATGCAGAGCCAACCTTAAGAAATGGGGCCACAAAGTGGAGTCCACAACATGCGAGTGTGGAGAAGAGCAAACCACTGATAGGTATTACAATGCAGTCTGATCCATGCCACATGTACAATGGAGGACCTTCTTATAGCAACACCAGAGGTACTCCAAGTGGCTAGTTACTGGTCAAAGGACATTTAGTGTAATGTCAAGTTTTAAAACTTTGTTTGTGTTTTTAAATACATTACAACTGTACCCTCGGTTTGTTTCTGAAAGATAAATAAATAAATATGAGAGGTCTTGCCTCCAAGGATTACTCAAGCTGTGCTTCCATTCCCTTGGTATCTCTGTTTCTTTGAACACTTTATTTATTTATTTATTTATTTACTTTACTTTACTTGTATACCGCAGTTTCTCAGCCCAACAGGCGACTCAACACGGTTTACAACAAGGATAAAAAACAATCAACGATATACAATTTAAGGCCATAAAAGCATAATATACAATATTGACACAATATTGACACAACCATAGACAACACAATACATCTCATAACTGGAGTCGTGATCCAATCCGTCGTCCAAATTTCCATTCCTGTAATCATCACATTCATTGCACTGTTTAACCGAATGCCCGTTCAAACATCCAAGTTTTTAATCTTCTTCGGAACACCATTAGCGAGGGGGCTGATCTTACCTCCATAGGAAGGGCGTTCCACAGCCGGGGGGCCACCACAGAAAAGGCCCTGTCTCTCGTGCCCACCAGCCGCACCTGTGAAGCAGGCAGGATAGAGAGCAGGGCCTCCCCAGAAGATCTTAAACACTCATTTGAAATATACTGCAAGGGCAATGTAAACAAACATATGCATTCAGTGTCTTACCTTGTGGCAAGCTTATGGCAAATTACACCAGTGTCTGTTATGACTTCACTGAGCCTCAACTCTAAATGGACTTTCCCCTGAAAAACAGAATTGCAAACCACAACGTCAGATTACATATAATTTAGGGAATTCTTAAAACACGTTGTCATCATATTTATTTATTTATTTATTTACTTCATTTGTTGACCGCCGCTCTCAGCCCTAGGGCGACTCATAAAAAAAACACCGGGGATACAGACAATATAAGACATTGTTTGACAAGTAATCTTCTTTCACAAGCCACTTAAGAATTGTTAAGTCACCAAACAATGAAGAGGAAGCCTATCTGATAACCCAAACAATATTTCTGTCATTTGACTGTAATAACAACAGCAGCTGCTATGGCTACAGATATCTGGGGTGAAGACAAACTGAACTTACTTCAGTCATTTAAATGAAGTGTTGACTATTTTGAAATGAGTACCTAGCTACATGCACAACATCTATGACTCTAAATCGAAGGGTAGAGATTTTAACCTCACTGGACCAAATTTCTTTTGCATTTGAATGGCAAGAACCACCAGCCTGGGAACCCAGAACTTTAAGGTCTTATTATTGGTTATGCTAAGCTGTCCTAATTTAAGTAATATAATGGGGATGGGAGGTAGCTTTGAGGCCACAGTTCCAAATTGTGCATTGGAATTCCTATCCAGTGTATAGTGGATCATGTGGAGATGCATATTCTTAAGATTATTGATGGAAAAACTAGTCTAATCTCCACATTGTGTCACCTTTGTACATGAAAACTTCATAAATCTGTTGTTAACCAGAATCTTGGTTTCAATCCTGGTGTGCCATCTCCAATGGGTTCCAATTAAGACATGAAAAGATGAGGACAGAGTCAGAGGTCACTTTTAATTCCTTCATTGATCAAGGATGGATGCCAGGGGGGAAATCCCAGATCAGATATACTTTGAGTTGACAGACATTGGTATTTTATAAACATTCCAAATAATAGAACTCTGTGACCAGCAAGAAGCAGTAGCAGTGACATGTGGACAACCCATTCCTTTCTTTGTGTTCATTATCACAGGAACAGGTGATGGTGGCCAGGTCTGCCCTAAGTTCTTGGATGGGAGATTACAATGAATACCAGGTGCTAGAAGCTATACTTCAGAGAAAGTAACCGGCAAAATTACCTCTGGGTATTCCTTGCTTAAGAGTCTCAATGAAATTCGTAAGTCAGCAGGTGACTTGAAGGCACATACACACATAAGTAGGAAAATTACTTCGGCAAGCAGCTGCAGGGCTATGACATCATATAACTGCTCCTGAAATACTTAGCTGCAAAACTCAGGTATAGGCGCACTTGAAAGCCCATTTATTTCAGACATAATCATGGGTGAGTTGTGCACTAAATGCTTTTCCTGTTTAACTGTATGCTCCTACCCATGTCAGATGTGCCCCCAGGTGAAACACAAGGGACCGTTCAATCATTTCCTCATGGGTGCTTTGATTAGAGCTGTTTCCAGAGTACTGGAGAAATGGCTCACAAAGCATTCACCCCTTCCCCCCAAGGACAACAATCTGCTGAGCAAATGTATTTCAATCAGAGTCATTCAAAATGAGTAAGTCTCACAGACATTTTTATCATATACAGAGCTAAACAGTCAACAGCTAGAAATGCATGATATGGAAGTGTACATGCTGTAAGAAAAAAGGGAAGAAGTCAGAAATACTTATATGCAAGGCAGAATGGACTGAGGGGCGCATCTACACATAGTGGAAAATATGTGCCCTCCTGGATTTGTACGTGGGTCATCCAAATGACGCCTCACATAAAAATACATTAATTCACATCAAAGCAGGAAAACACTAATTTGTGGTGAATTAATTTGATACTGGATGAGACGGGAAGAGTTCCTGGAAGACTCGGGTCTAATTGAGTATGGCTGGTGTCGGGACTGTCCCCTCAGAAGTCCTGGAATATTCAGCCCAGAATATACAAGAGGGCTCTAATGTCCTCCCCAAACCAGCAGGGCAACTGGATACTCCCCCCCCCCCCAGAAGCACAAGCTTTCTGGGGTGTGTGTGGACTCAAATTCATGTCCAATTGGGTTTTTAAAAACCAGATTAGGCACAAATTAAAGTCCTGTCTGGAATTGTCCAGAGTCATTTGAATGAGTGGAAGAAAACTACTGTAAGTAAGGTTTAATATCATCAATTGTAATAAATGTATAAAATCAAAATCATATGCAGTAAATTGAATTTTGCCACAGGATGCGCTCCCCGATTCAAGGGAGTGAAAGTTAATTTTTTTGCAATTCCCTTCAGTATGTTGTGTCCATCCTGGAAAATCTGCACTGGAAAGATCACAGTGCAGGGGATGATATGAAATATATTGCAATAGAGAAGGGGAAATCAGCTGAAATGTCTCCCTCCTCTTCTGGCTGATTCCTCTGCCAAGACAAAGACTCATCTGTGAACAGAAGTTGTTTCTGTTCTCTGCTCACAGGAGACCAAGTCTGTGCCTGGGCCAGAATCCCATAACAAGAAAAAAAATTAAGACACAAGCATCACATTTTTTAAAATTCCAGAAGAAAAAAGTTAGATACCCTTGGAAATCAATGTTATTAGAGATTGTGCAACTCAAATCTATAATTCTGAAATACTCCAAATTTGTCCATATGGGTGGCTTTGCTTACACATACTTCCAAAATATTGTATAAAATTACTGTCAGGCTATGTGGAGAAGGTCTATATGAAACATAAATGAATTTTGTGTTTAAACCTGAGTCCCATCTCTTAGGTATTTTATAATATACATATACTGTATATACACATACGGGTATTTCAACATCTGGGGGGAAAACTGCTAAATCCAAAACACTTCAGGTCCCAAAAATATTGGATAAGGGCATTCAAACTGTTGTTTCCCCTGGCAAAAGTCAGAAATCAATGTTCCCATCCGTAGACTCATATAATGCAGTTATACTGCACCGAACTATATTATATGAGTGTACACTGACCACATAATGCAGTTTCAAACTGTATTATATGACAGTGTAGATGGGGCCATATTAGCAGCCCTGTACTTGTCCTTTTTCCAAGTAAGTAATCGCATTGTTTAGAATGTAAAAGGGACAATAAAGAAATTATAATTTCTCTCTCTTGTACTTACACACCAATGGCCAGAGCTATTTCTCACACGTAGCCTGTGATATAACTGGCCCACATTATGAGGTTTGAATCTTATGATAGTATCGCAGGAATTCACGACAAAGTGGAATCCACGACATGCGAGTGTGGAGAAGACCAAACCACTGACCACCTACTGCAATGCAACCTAAGCCCTGCTACATGCACAATGGAGGACCTCCTTGCGGCAACACCAGAGGCACTCCAAGTGGCCAGATACTGTTCAAAGGACATTTAATCAACTACCAAGCTTGCAAACTTTGTGTTTTGTCTGTCTGTCTGTTTGTTTTGTTAAAAATGTAATACAACTGTCTGGTTGCTCCTGACACGATAAATAATAAATAAATAAATAATAAATATGGCAGGATGGGGAAAAGTTCCACCCATCCAAGGTCTCCCTCCTTTGAACCTATCAATGCTATCCCTGAATGGCAATTTCTGGTATTTTCACTGAGAGCTGTTACCCCAGCGCCTTCAAGTGGCATGGCCAAACATTTGCTCTTTGGTGAAAGTGGGAGAGGTCGAGGCATGCTTGAGACTAAGCACTTGACATGCACTAAGAATACTGAAGGGCTTTTGCTCTAAATACCAGCATTTGTCCATTTATGCAGGTCACGTATTAGATTCAACCTCCCGTCTTATTTGTTCTTCACAGGGAAAGGATAGGACCATGCCATATTTGGACTACAACAACTTTGCCAATGCTGTTTGTGGGACTGGGGGTGTAGAAATCCAAAGTAGCAATTCCAAAAAAGTAACTTTTTTGTCCTGCATTTAATCCCAGAAAGAAAGAAAAAAAACTAGACTAATGCAGAACTATAATTTGAATATTGTACTACTTGTAATACACAAAAGTTGTGGTGGTTGTGTGTCCAGAAGGTACAGAGATCCCACTGTGCTCTGCCATTCTCAAGTGTTTGCTTTTTTGTACCTTAAAAGGCTGAGGCTAGACTACTGTGAGTCACAATCCTGGCTGTGTGAAATTCCTGGAAGCACATGTTGTGTGATGTCTAAGAAAACTTGCATGGCTGGGACGAAATTACTGAAATTAAAAGCAGTGGCATGACAAGGTCAGATGATCTAGCTGGCTGGAGATAACATTAGTTCTGAGACATTAATATGAAATGTCTATAGGAAAATACAGGGAAGGAGATTCCACCTGAACATTAGGAAGAACTTCCTAACTGTGAGAGCTGTTCAGCAGTGGAACTCTCTATGCTGAAGTGTGGTGGAGGTTCCTTCTATGGAGGCTTTTAAACAGAATCTGGATGGCCATCTGTTGGACGTGCTTTGAACACGACTGTCCTGCTTCTTGGCAGGGGGTTGGACTGGATGGCCTACAAGGTCTCTTCCAACTCTATGATTCTATTATTCTAATATGGTAACAAAAAGAATGGGGTGGTTGGATTTATAGACAATCACTAGAGTAAAGTGAAATATGGATACACGGGGAAAAAGGAGATTGTGTACTTATGAATGTGTATGAATTATGTACATGGGTTTGTCTCATCCACTTTTGTCTTTTGCTTCTGTGCGAATCCACTGCTGGAATGTTACACATTAGGGAATGGCACAGACTGAAAGAAGGTTTCCCATCCCTACTTAGGTCATGTTAACAATGCTGACTATGGAATAAGGTCCTGTGAGATTTTCTTGCTTCTTTAGAAGACAACCAGTCAACATGCTCTGGATATATTTCATATTATATTTCTATTTCCAAAGCTTTGTCTTGAGTTTTTTCTCTCTATTTATATGTGTATTATGTTTTGATGCTGCTTTTCCGCCTTTGATATTGCTCTTTACTTTTGCTCAACTTAAATACAGGTCTTATGTTTGAAGGTGAGAATGTGATTTTACAATGGTACACTCCTATTCCACATCTCTTTTGTTCAACAGTAAA